TGATTATCGAGAATATGCTGACTTCAGACGCTGTCAAACCGATTAGCCACCTGCTGAGCTAGATAAAACATACGGGTTTCTTAACCTAAAACCTTCTCAAACCTCTTGAATTACTTCAAATAACAATAAAGGACTCATGCTGTAAAGACCAAACAGTGCGGAGGTTTAGTGTGTCCAGTGCTCAAAAAAGGTCAAAATACGACAGCTTAATAAAAGATGAATCGAACACTTGTGATAAATAAAACGGCACAGAGTTCCCACATCATTGACCTCGGCATGGAGGGCCTAGCTTGTGACGGTACTAGGATATATAATATGTATATATATATAAATATATAAGAGTAACAAAAGTGCAGAACTTCATGAACTCATAATATAGCAGAAGAGATACACGCTTCGAAGTGTGACTACGAGAATCATAACATTAAGAGAATACCTTCATGTAGTAGTAATTAAGGTACCTACTCTCAACGTTTCTTTATGAAATGCGTTAAAAATCTATTGACCGTGCTTGATAAGTGGAACAACCTAGCTAAGGAGAAGCTGGTTTTCGCTCAGCTCGTGAACGATATTTTTTATATTTTACGTCAAAATTACATTATATTTGAACGCGTCAAACGAGATCAATAGATAGTTATAGCTATTTGAGTTCAGTTAAGGGATATATCCTTTTGCCGGGCCTGAACCTGTGTTGTGCATTGAGGTAAGTGTGACGTAATTTATGTCGGTGGTGCACTTAAATACGTCAGAAATAGTACTGTGTATTTATTTTAATGATCTAAACTCTTATTATTTTGTCATTTTCTTTTCCATTACATTTGACAAAAGAAATTTAACTCTATAAGACACAAGCTACAATCACAACCACAAACATTAAAAGCAAAGAAAGTGTTGCACCACGCAAGCCATACCACATCTATAAAACCTTTCGGCTGAGATTATTATACTTGTATCATCTGATAGCGATACCTCCCGTCGATCCCGTTCACTGTTTGTCATACGTTCACTGCTGCTCTGCCAGTTTACCTTCACTGCTCCTACGTCTCTGGCATGTAGAGTACAAGCCATTTTCCTATTACTATCGTCGTTATCGTCGTATGGACCTGCGCGAAACTTCAGCGCAGCTCTAAGTCGAGATAAACCTCTGCATCGCACTTACGCGTGCATAGACTTGGGCACGAATATAGATCTTTTCTGTTGTGGACACGCGCTTTCGCGTTAGATACATGTATTATGAACAAGAGATATTTTTTGTTCCCCCACCAAAATCGTCAAAAGGGATAGCTGCATTTCAAAGCTGAAATCTTCATAGTATGAAGGTAAGAGAATTTGCGGAGCACCACAGAGAAAGGCTGATCAACTCGTAGCCATAACTAGTTCCCTTTGCCCCCTACGCAGCCATCCACCTGAAGCACTTGACTTGTTTAGCCGAAACAGCCCACTGCCTCTGCTGCGTAAGACTTAAAGAGTCCTACGGCTCCTTAAAGGCCTAAGATCGCGCCCGACCCCGGGTCGCCTCGTGCGGGCAGTTGTTACCCCCTTGCTGCTAAAGCAGCAAGGGGGTAACAACTTGTTGTTGCGATCCTTCCGTAGCTCGTTCTGATTCATTAGATAGCTACTTCATTGAGAACAGCGCGTGTACGACCGATGCATGCCGCGTGCAGCACGCCGTAGCCGCTTTCTGAGGCAAGCCGTAGGGGAGTTTTTTCAACTCGACAAGCACCTCTTTAAAGATATTAACCCGTCCCCTCTGTCTGTTCCAAGCACGTGTAGCTATAAGCGAGCTCTAGCTCTCTTTTTCTCTGTTTTTTTTCTGAATTTGAAGTAGGACTTACATTGAGCCAACGGAAAGCAGCGGCGGAACAGTGGTTCTATGCGCGTAGAAATCGTCTACTGACATTCACGACAACAGAAGAATACGTTGTTGCTGCTTCTACGCACTGCGCGTGTAAATCGTAGCGAGAGTGACCAGCCCAGAGATTGTTTTCTTGATGGATCACATGCTGCTTGAAATGGCGGCATTTTTTTTCTGTATGGATCGTATTTGCTCCAGACATTGTGGGGATGTCGCATTGACAGATGTCGCTTATTTTTGTTAAGCAACCGCTTCGTTGGGAACAGCGCGTGTAGTCTCGACATATGCCACGGCCAACACGCCGTGGCTGCTTCTCGAGGCCTGCATTAAGGGGTTAACTTCAACTTAACAAATGCGTTATGTACAATATTAAGCCACTTTATAATGAGGCTTAGCGTCTATTTGCAGATTTCTTTGAGGAGCCAATTGGCTACATTTAACCCATGGTTCACATAACTGATAGGAAATACGAACTACTCGTAACCTCTATGGAGTCGTCCGGGGTATTTATATGGAATATTCATAGTAGGCTTGTAGGCTTTACCGGGCAAATTTTAGAGGATCTAAACTACTATACTATTAAGAGAAAACTTATACAGCCATTTATGTAGATTAATTCATCGTTTTAGAAATGTGTGTCTATATATTTTCGTCGCATCATACTGCGACAAGGATGGATCATTACAAGCCCATCATTATATTCGTCCAGTTTTGCTCCGCAAAATTCAGGGCATCGTATAAACCCTACTGCGAGCTCTTTATCTGTAGGCGACCGTCGAAGGCGTCACCTAGTGAACTCGCAGTGCGCTAGTCTCGTTTCGAGGAGCGAAACTCAATTATGAAGTGTGTTTTTTTAGGCAAACTAGATAATGGAGACTTCGTTAAACGTTGTTTGCTTGGCGTTCGAATAAATTCCGTACGCACGCTTAGTTCACTTTACGACCCTTCTTGTCTTTCTACGATCCCACGTACGAGGAAGCACAGCGCATGTACGTACAGTCACCATCCTGGAGCTCAGGTGATCAGTGTATGGTTCAAGCACGTAATATTGAGCTAGTTGCTAAATTTATATTCTCGTATCTGATCTTTTGTGAGCTAAAAGTATTCGTTGGTAAACTTTCCTCTCTAGTTATGCTAATTTGACCACTTAGATTTTCATTTGTTTTCATCGCCAGCGTAGATAACTTTTTTCATTTGAATGGAACGACAGTTTCGCCTTTATGCTATCCACAAAGATTCTACGGGTAAAGCGACGTCTATCAGACTGTACCAAAGGCCCGCGCTAGTTTTTCTAGTATTCTAAAATCAGACCGTCTTAGAAAAGCCTAAATACAACGTACGCGTTAGTCCAATGAGTTCTTTCACACATGGCGTAAACATCAGGCCAAAAAGGATTGCATTTATGGATTTGGCACGACTGTAAGCGCTAGAGCTCCCTAAACGGGTTATTTCAATTGGGCTTATTTTGATAAAATTAATTTATACAACCGCACTATATTAGGCCATACAGCATTAAATGCGATACACTTTAGAATAATAATAATAAACAGACGATAGAAAAATTGAGAAATGGCGCCATACTATAACGGTGCCGTTGGCTTGATTTTTCAGGAAGAGGATCTTGAACTCGAAAATGAGCCCCATAGACGATTTGTTACGAGGATGAATAATGAAATGTTGAGAACTGTGGTAGACGTGGACCTATTCTCACTCAGGCTCACCACTGTCAAATTGATAAAGGAACAAATTGGACAAATGGGTACCACGTGATTCGAAAGAGTATCAAAGACGTTTGCCTTCTTGGTTCGCAAACAACGGTGATCCGCTCCTAGAGCAAAATGTAACAAGTAATGAAAGATACAATATCTGAAGATCATCATGAATTAATGGAACCGAACCGACTAAAGGTTACTTAAAGGCAAACGTATAGTTCCAATAACCTAAGATGTCTGCTTAATGGCTTAGTGAAGCTGGTACGCGGAGCAGCTTCATGAGCTCGGGTTTGTCGATTCTGTACTGCCGACCACTAGAGAAGATTACGAACAAATGCCACATGGAGCAAACTTCATTAATGAATGGAGCTAAGTCACTCTTATTGCACGTTTGCTTGCACACCGTAAAAATTACATCGCATAAATACAGGGATTAGATACGGAGACCTTATGTCGTCACGCATGAGAAATTCGCTTCCATAGGTCGTTATCTGCTAAAAAATTGTTTGAGTTCATGGTCCAGTCACCTAAATGTCACAGATAAAAATGGTGATAAATAAAGAAAACAATATTTTTTCAATGAGAATTTAAAACAACTAGACCTCACTGCCTCACATCTCATGCAAAACAATTTATTAAAAGCTATTCCATGCTGATGATTTATTGCATCGTTTCAGCCATGCCATGATTCCATGCACGTCTGTCCAGGAACCTACCACGTCGATTTTGAGACACCGATAGAAGCGAAATAATAGAAACCAATGAGGAGGCTTATCTCATCCTTGTCTGATTCAATCGACACGGATCGCAAGACAACGAACCCGTGCAACATAGTTATAAGAACAGGTATCGTTACAAGAACACATATAGTAAGTTTTTTTCTAAACCTCTGCGTGTGTGTGTGTGCGCATAGCGGAGCGAAAATATAATGAAATACCTTTCTCACTTCTCATTCACATTCTTGTCAGCCTCTTCTAGGTAAAGAAGCTACTTTATCAAGTGAGTCTAGCTTGTTATTGTTCGGCTGCGATGGATAACAATCGCTTTAAATGCTTCCAGCAACAGCTCCCTTTCCCGGCTCTCATCACCGTCTGGTTAACAGGAGAAGCCCAATAGGCATGGTGGCCCCCTATAGCCCCGTGAAATTCGTCTGCTTCAGTATTGTCTACTTTTGCGCTATTATGTAGATGTTCGATGCAAACCAAGCGATGGAGACCACTTATTCCGAGAATGACGATATGCTTCCTATCATGCTCGGAGCCCCTACAGGCGGACGAAGCCAACAGGTGGAGGCAACTTTCCCTCACAAACTGCATTTGAGGGTAAGGGTAGGGGCCTGTGGAAGGCTTTATAAGCCGAGCAGCCTAAACAGCCAAGTCAGATCATGGCGAGGTTGCCCCTTAGCAATTAGTTATAGTAACAGCCGTGAAACTACGATAAGTAAACCGTGAACAGATTTGTTCAGAGGTCTTAGTGCAATTGTGTTATACGTTAGGGGCACAGAGCTGGAGCAGCCCGGTTCAGTTTTTCCTCAACCGCACTTCTCTTTCCCAGCAGCACCAAACATGACGAATAAACCTCGCCAGAACCCCATTAAGATGCGAGTCATTGTCGTAGGACCCAAGGGTGTCGGGAAGTCGGGTACGTATCTGAAACATTTGATATTTGTGCAACGACGTTGTCTTTAACAAGTAAGAAAACGGTTCGATCTTTCTGTAAACGGGGTGAAGATTAAACCTTGTAGAGGATATAGCTGCCAATAGTTCTTTGCTGGCTGGCAACAGTATCGTTTGATTCTGCATGCTGACTAAATGAATTTTTCTATCATCTCTATCTTAGCTTGTATCGTCAAATTCTTGACGAACAAATTTCTCTACGACTACAGTTCAAAACAGGATAATAGTTACCATAATCAAGTGACGCTCGAGGAGACCATCTACGACCTCGATGTGACCGATATCACTAAGCATAACGTAAGTTGGTCATAGCTACAAGCTTAAGTCATTGTATCCTATGAAATGTCCATAAACGTGTTTGGCATTCTTATGCTGTAGTGTGTTGAAGTTGCAGACGCGCTAAACGTCAACTTCTCACGATTGGAACGTTTTGAAGTTAAGCCTTCGGCATGAAAGACCGTATATATTTATGCTAACGAAATCTATTTTTTTTGTTCGACTTTGTCCTCAAGACTCCAGAAAAAAAAATAAAACGAAGGTAGAAATGATATTAGCTGGAAACCTCACTAGCTAAATGCATGCCGAGAAATCTGAATATTAGTTTTTCCATAACCAATTAATACTCTTAGAAGCATCATTCTTAGAAATTTGTTCACAAGTACGAAATGTTCGAAGCGCTTGCAGCCTGCTGACTAGTTGATTAGGACAAAGCTAAGGTTCTAATTTGTCATTGCTTAGATATTTCGTTCATTAGCTGGCAGTATCTTTTATTTGAGTAGGAATATAGGAAGGATTAAAGAACAACATTGTAACGATCCCTGCTTTGTGCCTCGCCTATCTGTCTTTTGCAGAGTTCGGAATCTCTTCCGGTCACGAAATGCGAAATGGTCGATGCGTTCGTAGTTGTCTACTCCATCGACAACCGATGGAGCTTCGATGAAGCATCTGGATGGCACCAGAAACTTGAGGCGCGCTTTCCGGATTCACCGATCCTACTCCTAGCTAACAAGTGCGATATGGCATATGCGCGCGAGGTGGACGCTGAGGAAGGCAAGGAATTAGCTGGTGAACTATTCTTTGAAGTGTCTGCCGCCGAAAGCGAATCTACGGCCCTGAATCGGGCGTTCGCGGCACTGTTCCGACGAGTGGTTCAGTTGAGAAACTGTCAGACGGTAAAAAGAAAGCTTAGCATGACCAAAAAGATCGGCAGTATTTTCACGCGCAAAGATTCAGCTCGGCGCATTAGCACCAGTGCATCGATGTGAGAAAACGAAGCGATGCTCACCCATCATAAACGAGGAGAGGTGAAAGCGATGGACGCACGCTAGCTAAGCGTCGGAGTTCCCTCTCCCGTCTCGTACGAGAGCGCTTTCGGTTTGTATATATCTTCGTGTTGATGAATACATTTTAATGGACACATCCAGGGACGATGTTAAGGGTCGCCATGGCCGTAACAGCCGACAGAGCAGTAACAGCAAGCTCACTTACGGCATTTGAAGCAGTCCAACGTAGAACAAACATATAGAATAAGCACACGACAAGCGAGCGCGATCCGGTCGACCAGAAGGTCAATCCCGAATCTATTTATGATACACATTACTGGGAGAACGAAGAACGACGCGCCGATCACACTTTGCTAAAATGAGCACATTTCCAAAATACGTCAGTCAACCACGGATCCATACAATTATACCAGCAACAGCAATAGCGCACAAGTAGCGTCTGCTTATCTAATCCTGATGATGCCTCGAGTCGCCGAAATCGTCATTCGGTCTTTGTTACATCACTATTCAGCCTAGTTAGCGAAATACTTTATTCTGACCGATTCCGTACCTGATTTTAGCCCGACCGGTTGCATTCTCACACACCGTATGTACATAAGGGTCAATCACTCGCTTGTTTGACATTCAGCATAAGAAGATAAGGAACAGGAAGAAGATATATCAATTAACGGTACTGAAACTGCTGTGACAGTTGCAGCTCGGTGAGAATGGCTAACCAGTGCTATGGCGCGTTAGTGTCAGACGCCCAGAATCGAGCAAAAGTTATCACATATTATATATTGGGATACAAAGATAAGACTAAGTAATTTCACAACTTTAATAGCACATTCATCCCGCATTGTATAGGTCAACTTTTTTACTACGTTCACAACAAGTCGCTCACAGGCTAGCATCAGTAGGATACAGCTGTTGCTTAATGCTATATTAGTACAATTGTTGTCAATGGAACCTATACAAGGTTGTATACGTGTCAAAGGCTGAATCGGACCTGAAAAAGGACAAATTACCAATACATGATTAGTTTGTGAACTGGTAACAGCACTAACACATGCTAATGAAACGTTTCGAGAACCTCAAAACCGGTGTGAAGCTTATCTCTTGCCGTTTGTTTCTTAACGTGCGGATGCCAGTAATGAAGTGATATCGTATCGATCAGTGGACGTTCAACAAGTGAAGTCCTGTGAAGAGGAACGGGAACGCTACCGCCGTTAAGTAGCCAATTCGTGCGGGTTACTTTGGAACAGCGGTGCGTTGTCCATATGTATCGACAAACTTAAAAGGGCGAAACATCACAGTTATATCCCTAAGATGTGTGTTTACGTATGTTATTCGAATGTATGCCTTAGACGCTGAAAAGAAGGAACTATTCGACTAGGTATCGAGGTTATGTTGACGATGTCGTCTAAGGATTGAATCAGCTTTAATAACAGAATAATCATCATTATTACGACCATAACGACCCTAATAATTGAAACGAAACCCAGTGAAGATAAGGAAGCGGCCAGAAAAAAAGAACACAACAGAGGGAACTGTTTACAGATATGGCTGCAGGCGGCCATCCCACACGGTCCCTGCGTAGGAATCAGAAGCAGGCCCATTGAGCTGTACCACTGAACATAGTGTAAATAAGAACTTGTACGTTTGTAAGTAAACCAAGACAACAGTTTCAAACTATACACTTGTGAAGGTATTTAGACAAATATTGCTATTGAGTATCAATAAAGTTATACGGTTAACTAGTCGAACTTTATCATGTGCTTATTATCAGTACCGTCTTAAATGGCTTATTAGAATAGTGAACAAAAAAAATCATCATTTTCGCAAATAGAAACACGAAAGTGCTAAAAGTCTTTCCTGCATCATGCTTAACGTTGAGTCACTTCCAAGCTGTTACTACGAAATTCGAGCGTTTTTTCGCATAGAGTAGTTTTATTTCCCATAATATCACATTCCGAACACACATCCGGAAAACAACCGGTTCCTCGAGACTCACGACGAAGCTTATACGCTTCCATGTTTGATATCCGGTACTTCAAACGTTCGGCATTACTTAAGGCGGCAGGCTATCAGCTCGAAACGAAGTTATCTGCCCTTTGACCCGAACTTAGACCGTCGCGTCTAGGTTCGAGCGAAATTTAACAGGCGGAAACGTTAGTCATTGTGACAAAGTTCCTGTAACATTCATTTTTTATATATTTTTTTGTAA